TCTTATCTTCCCCCTGCCATGTACAGAATTGGAAATTGAAATCACTGGGGTCACATGCTGACTCAGTCATGGCCAGATGTGTGCTGGGGCAGCTCCCACTCATTCTCAAGGGCCTATGATGCTCCACTCTTCCCAACATTGTTCACTGACACCATGTTGGCAGAGTGAAGTCGGCCATAGTGAGAATATTTATTTTTATTTATATCACATAAAATGGAAAACATCACAAACCCCCTTCCAAGAGCCAGGTGTTAAGCATTTACCAACAAGTCACTGGTCACAACCTAGCAATGTAAATCAGGTGACGTCAGTTCCCTCACCTAACCTAAGAGCAGCCTCTCTCTCCAAAGCATGGTAACCCTCCACGTTCCACCAGAATACACACTCTCAATCCATCGTAGCCTGCTTCTAGCCAGCAAATGATTTTCTACATGCTTGCTGTGTGCCAGGCCTGAGCACATATAATAGCTCATTTGACCCTCACAAGATTGCTGTGAGTTACTATAATTTCATCTTACAGTTATATTTTATTGTAATATATATAGTTATTATAATAGTTATCATTTCATCGTACTGTTGGGGAAACTGAAACTTTTAATGACTTTTCACTACAGGTTAAAGCCTGTCATAGGTTGGTTTCCCCCAAAAGTAGATCCTGAGATAAGAATTCAAGTTCAAGTACAAAGCGGGGTTGTCGGGGGGAGTGAGAAGAGGAAGGGGGAAAGTTAACACTATGAGCCATGGGGATTCAGTCCAGCAAGGGAACACTTAGAGACAGCACAGAACATGCCTTAAACTTATCCCAACAGAGAGGCTTCCTTTAGAGCAGGCGTCCCCAAATTACGGCCCATGGGGGCCCCCTGAGGCCATTTATCCGGCCCCCCGCCACACTTCAGAAAGGGGCACCTCTTTCATTGGTGGTCAGTGAGAGGAGCACAGTATGTGGCGGCCCTCCAACGGTCTGAGGGACAGTGAACTGGCTCCCTGTGTAAAAAGTCTGGGGACGCCTGCTTTAGAGGAAGCTGGAGTATTTGCACACCTTCTCCCATCAGTCATTGGCTGAGCAGCGAAACATGGGCAGGAGGCTGTCAGTATCTATTATGTTGCCCTGTACCCCACAGCTAGGAAATGGTAAGATGCAATTCAAACTCCAAATCCAATACTCTTTTCATGACATGTATAAAAATGAGTAATCACATTTTACTGAATGCCAACTACAGTTGAAGCACCACGCTGATGAAGGAAATCTAAATCACTTTCCCAAATCACTTTGGGTTGACATGTTCAAAGAAAGCACAGGTATTTCTCTGCCAGTTTTCACCAATTGAAGGGACAGGAAAAGCCCTTGGACGTTACTGTGCCCGCTCCACAGGAATGGATGAGAGGACTCCTCTCTGGTTCTGCCACAGCTGCCTTGGCAGCAGTTCCCCAGCCCCAAGTTGGCACCACACACAGCTGCATCAACTTGTGATGACAGGCTTTAGAGTCTTCCATCCCAGAAATGATCAAAAGTGACCCACTGGCTGCCCAGCCTGAGTCAGAGGATGTGCCGCTCTCCTTCCCTGTGCCTCCTGCCACATTCACCGACCCCCACCTCACACGGCCACGTGGTCCACAGGAACGCACAACCAGACCAATTCAATGAAACCAGCAGTGAGACCTGGGGGTGCTCACTCCAACTTGAAGACTTTTATAAAGTCTTCTGGGCCAGGCACAGTGGCTCACACCTGTAATCCTAGCACTTTGGGTGGCTGAGGTGTTTGAGACCAGCCTGGGCAACATAGCAAGACTTCATCTCTATTTAAAAAATAATAATAAATTAGCTGAGTATAGTGGCATATGCCTGTGGTCCCAGCTACTCAAGAGGCTGAGGTGGGAGGATGGCTTGGGCCAGGGAGGTTGAGGCTGCAGTGAGACTTGATTGCACCACTGCACTCCAGCCTGGGCGACAGAGAGAGCCCCTATGTCAAAAAAATAATAAATAAAAATAAAAATAAAAATTCTTCTTGGAGTCAGGGAGATGTTGAAATAGGACAGTGCGTCAGTGGAATAAAAACTGGACCATATTGTGAAGAGTGTTAGGGAGGCGGCAGCAGGGAACTGCTACTCTCGCTTTACAAATCCATCTGGGGCAGCTCTCAGCCACTACGGATTGAAGATAGAGGCTGAACATCTTGTTCTATTCCAAGCACACTACTGAGACCTGCCCTGTGTCTCACTCTGGCGGAGAGGAGTAGATGAGCCCCGGGACTCTTGGAGGTCACCCAGTCCATCTCCCAGCCTCTCTGTGCGACTCTCTGGCAACCTGACCCTGCCTCTCTGACCCCACCTCCCACTCAGTAAGGACACTTCCTGCCAAAATATCCTAAAGACAGCTGAAAACAATAATCAGGCCCAGGTTCTTTTGTGCTTTGATGACAGGTCTCCTTTCTGGCAAGCAGCGCTGTCCAGCCCTCTGAGGCAGCAGATACACGCCCTGGGCACCTCTCCAGCCGACTCGCTCAGCTATTCCTAAGCAGCTCACACATGGAACACAGACATGGAGCCTGGCTCCGGGACACCGGGAAATAGACCCAGAAGTAAAAGCAAAACCAGTGAGTAACTGGGATGTCTCAGGTGGGCCAGAGCATCCAAAGGACTGAAAACAAGGTATAGGGTTGTCCGCCACACCAGCTGACGCTTAAGATGGCACAAACTGGTGAGATGACCTGAGCCTCCAAACAGAAGTCATGTGGAGACAGAGAGATGGGCTGCGGAGTGCTAGGGATAGAGTGGGCCTCGCTCAGGAAAGTGGGGATGATGCTGGCCGGAGATACAGCAGGTGCGGGCGCAAGCCCGCTTGGCCAGATGCGAAGGGCATTGTCCTGTTCCCCTTCCCCTAGTAGAAGGCATGAAAAGGGACCTCAGATCCCTGGTCTCTCTCAGCCAGCCTCTTCAAAGGAGCCATGATCATTCTAACCCAATTTTAACAACATAGAAACAAAGGGAGTGGAGTACTTGGGATATGTCTAGGCTGTACCCCAAGGCTTATCATGTGTCTCCCCAATATTCCACCTCTGCTCTTCCATCTGCTGAAGGAGGAGCGGGACTCACCTTGCAGCCTCCCCAACACAGGGAATCCCAAGCTGTACCAGCCTATGCTCCAGGTGCCCAGGCAGGCTGCATGCTATGCCTCCCTCTTCCAGAGCAAGAACTCCTGCTCCTTCCAAAACTACCGCCCTCTCCAAGCTCAGCCATCATTTGAGGCCCTCTTCTACCCCTGTGAGACCTGCTGGACTGCCACAGCCCCTAGGCATCAGGCTGACCTGTCCAGAGGAGAAAACACAGCTACTGCCCACCCCCAATGCCTCAGGGTCTCTGATCCCAAATGGCTACCACGCAGGTAGATGCCACACTGTGTCCCTGGGACATCACATTTGAACGCAAGTGTTTTGGTTTTTTAAAAAATTAACTCTTCTCAAACAACCTAATATATCTTCTCCATGCCAGGTTTCTTTAATTCTTCAGACCACCTGCAGAAAAACTGCCTAGTAAGTAAATGTGGATTTGTTAGTAAAATAAGCCTAGCTACAGATTCCTCATCCAGATGTTCCAGAAAGAAGGCCCCTGGCTCTGTCTTCCCGGCAGTTTAAAAGAATGATTGTTTCTAATTCTTTCCTCCCATTGTACTAAGATCAGCTGTGGCAGTAACCGGGTCTCCCTCCAGGACAAATTGCTGTTTATCAGCTGATTGGTTCACACATTCATTCATCACTTACAAGGCACTTACTGTAACCCCAGCCAGCCCTAGACACGCCTCTGCTCTCCCGAAAAACACGTTCTAGGCGCAGGATTCCAGACACCTGGGAAATAGAGTGCATGCTGCGTTGAGAGGCCTCGCACTCGGCTTCTCCTGTCACTGAGGCACAGAGGTGCTGTGGACAGCCGAGGACCCACGCAGCGCCCCAGAGGTGAAACAGAACCGTCAGTCTCCCCGTGAGGCCACCGGCACTCTGCTGTCCCCAGAGTTCTCTGAGTTAGAGCTGAATGCAAAGGCGCGCGAAATGCAGAAGCAGCCGAGGCCGCCCACAGCACCTGCCTCGCTCTCGGGGCGAGAGAGGACGCCAGGCGGAGGTCCCCAGAGACCTGAGGCACTAGCTCCTAAGGAGAGGGGGGAGACCGCAAAGGGGGAGGTGCCCAGAGGGCCAAGGGCCCCCAAGCACACTGCGCCCTTCCGAAGCGCACCGCCTCCCCGCGCCCGGGACTGGGACCCGCCCCTGGGGAATCCGCCTAGAGGACGGCAGCGGATTGGGGTTCAGCACTTTCTGGGGCTGTCAGGTCCTCCCCAGCCCTGCACCTGCCACGCCGCCCCACCTCACCAGGAAGTCTCAGAGGCCCGGAGGATGGGGTGGGAGCGCCTTCCCATCGCGGGCGCGAAAAGAAGGAGGGACGCCCCCAGGGGTCCGAGAAGGAGGACTAGCTCCAAGCCACAACTTTCTTTGGACGGACCGTAGGCCGGCTGGGGCTCCGCGCCGGCCCGGCCCCTGGGTGGGGGCGGTCCGCGCGCCCCGGGAGCCCAGCTGCTGGGGGAGGAAAGAGGCGACAAGAGGCAGGCGAGGACTCAGGAGCTGATCCCGCCGGCGTCGGGGCCATCGTGGGAAAACTTTCGGGAGGGTGGAAAGAGAACGGCCCGCGCCCTGCACCTTGAGCCAGGCATCCCGCGCCAGTGCCTCGCTCTCAGCGCCCCGCGCCGGCGCCCCGCTCCCCGCTCCTTGCCTGCACCCCTGGGCAGCTGCGTCGCGCGCGCCGCCGGAACCGTGGAGTTGGAAAGTGGGGGGCGCTGCGGCTGGGGGGCTGCTCCAGCTGCGCTTCGGCCAGCGATCGGTGGGCTGGACTCAAATCCAGCCAGGCTGGGCAGGCGGTGGCCGCGCGATTGGGAACCGGGCGCCCCGCCCTCCTCGCTCCCCTACTCCCTCCTCTCCCTCCCTCCCTCCAGCCCCTTGGCCTTTTTCAGCCCCTACCCGGTCTGCTAGTCCGCTGTCTCCTCTTTTCTCTCGCTCTTCTTATCACCCCCCACCCCTCCGCCTGGCCTTCGTCTTTCTTCCTCCCCTTGTCTCCCGCCCCCTCCTCTTCTCCCCTCCCCTCTAGGGGCGGAGCTTCTCCCCTCCCTCCCAGACAATGCTGTGGCTGCGTCCCCTTCCCCGCCAGCTCGTCTAGGCTCACGCAGCCAGCGATTCTTCCAGGCTGGGGGTGGGAGTGCAGGGTTGGGGAGGATGAGCTGGCTCCCCTCACCTCCTTGCTGCTGCCCTCTCCAAGCGGGATGAAGACTTGCCCCAAGCTCCTTGGTTCACCCGGCGCTGTGACAGCCACTCCCAGGGAACAGTCACGCTGCCCCACCAAGCCCACCTCCTGAGGCCCGGATTCCCCAGGCAGAGGCTGTGGGATTTTTTTTTTTTTTTTTTCTAACATCCAACTTATTCCCAAAAGGGTTTGAGCCGGGCAGGGGCTAAACAGGCCCCTTCGACTTGGCGGGCCGGCCAGACGTGACAGCAATGCCAAGGAGGCCAAGTTTCTTTGTCCATTTCTCACCTCCCCCTTTTCCATCCCTGGACCTCCTGGCGCCCTCAGCACACAGGAGGCCCTGGAACAGTCCGGCTACGGGTTCCCTATCTGCTCAGAGCTCTCCCCCAACGTGCCTACCCCCAACCCTGCAGAGTTAGCGGGCCAAAGGGGAAGGAAGCCTCAGGCCAACCCCCAAGATACAGCCAGACCAGCTCATCCAGCTTGGAAGCCAAGCATTCTTTACTAAATTCATTGTTTGGATCTTGGAATGTGTCTCCCTTAGAAACAATATTATAAATGGTGATCTGCTTCCAGGCTGGCCACAAAACTCTGTTGAACCCAAAATGCAGCTGTAGGGTGGTGCTGAGAACTGTGTCAGCTACCCTGAAAAAGGAGGCCACTGATAAGATTTATTTATAGAAAAAATGTGTATATATCTTCTGATTCTTTCTTCTTGAGCTACAAACACTATAAATTAAATAAGTTACAGCTTTCCCATGAAGTTTCTCCATCTGGAACCGCTACTCTATTAGTTAAGCTTCTTTTCTTTGTGGGTAATAGAAATAACCTCAGGGAAATGTATTTGTGGATGCAATGGTTTCTCGATAATCTAATCTCAGTGTCAGAACTTCTTGGAGAGCTCAGTAAGAGGCAAATCTAGAGCGTAAAGGGCTTCCAGTAACCCAGAAAGTCTTCTCTGAGGGGTTCCTTCTTGTCTTTCATCACAGACTGGCCCTCCCTGCACCTCTGACACATGGTGAAGGGTGGCCATGGCTTCTATCACTGGAGCTTGGAGCTCTGCTGCTCAGGAAAGCAGCCAGATGCTGCTAGAATCCCTTAATCTCTAATCTAATCTCCCAAAAAAGCAGTTCACTGTTCTGTGACTGTACAGCTACTGATGAGCTCAGGTTGTCCAAACTGGACTGCCAGAAATCCTGAAGCTAGGCTCTATTTAAAACCAAACCCATTCCTTTTGTTTTTGTTTTGCTTTCTAATTTTGAGATGGGGGTCTCACTCTGTCACCCAGGCTGTAGTGCAGTGGCATGATCATAACTCGCTGCACCCTCAATCTCCTGGGCTCAAGAGATCCTCCTGCCTTAGCCTCCCAAGTAGCTGGGACTAAGGCATGTGCCACCATGCCCAGCTAATTTTTGTATTTTTTTTTTTTAGAGATGGGGTCTCACTACGTTGCCCAGGCTAGTGTCAAACTCCTGGCCTCAAGCAATCCTCCCCATCGGCCTTCCAAAGTGCTGGGATTACAAGCATAAGCCATCTTGCCAAGCCCTGAACACATTTCTCTCTACTTAGATTCTCCATCTTGGTGAATAAATTGATTCATTGATTGATGGATTCATTTATGCAAGATACCAGAAAACAATTTTCCATTCATCAGTTTCCCCATACCAAAGCCACAGGAGAGAAAGGAATAGCCCTTCACCCTTCAAGGCAGAATAGGGCAACACATCAAAACAGGGATAATATTTTGCATATATTAAACTAATAATTAAAGTTTACCCTTAAATCATGTTTTCTTATAGTCTTCTACCATCAGAGGCCAGACCAGGAGGCTCATGGCCCAGGAAGCATCAGATGAGCATTGTCTAGAATTGTCTAAAATTCTCCAATAGAAACCCAACTCATGGCTGGCCATGGTAGCTCACGCCTGTAATCCCAACACTTTGGGAGGCCAAGGCAGGCAGACCACCTGAGGTCAGGAGTTTGAGACCAGCCTGGCCAACATGGTGAAACCCCATCTCTACTAAAAATACAAAAGAAATGCAACTCACCGGGTGCAGTGGCTCATGCCCGTAATCCCAGCACTTTGGGAGGCGAAGGCGGACAGATCACAAGGTCAGGAGTTGGAGACCAGCCTGAACAACATGGTAAAACCCTGTCTCTACTGAAAACACAAAAATTAGCTGGTGTGGTGGCGTGCACCTGTAATCCTAACTACTCTGAGGAAGGAAGGAGGGAGGGAGGGAGGGTGGGAGGGAGGTAGAAAGGAAGGAAGGAAGGAGGGAGGGGGGCAGGAAGGAAGGAAGAAAGGAAGGACAGAGAAAGAAAGGAGCCATTGTTCCTTAAGGTGGAATGAGTTCCTGTTCCTGGAGCTGTCCACCACTGCTATGCTGGGATGAGGCGTGACCTGAGGGGATGCAACACAGAACACACAAATCATCTGCTCTAAGCTCCAGGATGAAGAGGGGCAGGTAGACCCTGGCTAAATCGGGGGCTGGCAGGAGGACCTGTTGGAGACCCAGAGGGAGGATCAGCGAAGGCCAAGGGAAGATCAGGGTGCAGAGATCCGAAGGATCCTGGAGCACCCAGACCTTAAACTGCACATGCTGCAGGCATCATCAGTAGATGTCAGCCAAGCACTCAGGAGTGGGACCAGCATGCCCAGCATCCTGCTTTCAAGGGAGGGTCCAGAGCGGGCCCTCTGTAGCAGGGCCCACGGAGGACCTTGAGGCCTCCCTGTGATCCTGAGCACCAGCCTCACTAGCCACCACCAGAGTAAGACACAACCTCTCCCAATGATGCGTCTTAAAAAGAACTGGGCAGAAAGAAAGAACTCTGAGAGACTATTTACTTAAGAAGACCAGAGGGACCGTTTAGATTATTGCATAAGACTTCATTTATCAGACTAACATTTAGGAATTTTTTCCTCTGCTATCCAGAAGGTAAGAATTTACAGAGGAAGATCCAACGAGATCTAGAGGGATAAGGAAGCCTAAGTGAGGTCTCCCCTGGCTGCAGCCACCTCGTCACACATCTGCTGCACCAGCATGGTGGGCTGGCCAGACATCTGCTTGAGAGGTGGAAAAAAGACCCTCTTGGGAGAGAATTTGCATTCTAAAGAAAGAAAATTCAAAGCTTGAGTTGACAGAAGGCTAATGAGATTGTCACTCAACTCTTTCCCCAATCTGGTCCCCTGGACACACAGGAGGGTCCTCCTGGGAAGAAGGGGCTCTAGGTTACAACAGAAAGGGCTGTTCTGTAAACCTCCAGGTACTCTGGGGCCCAAGCAATTATGTTTTGGGAACCCTCCTGCTGAGTAATACTTAAGGGGCCAACACTCCCGCTGCTCAGCTTCTCTATTTCAGGAGTTTGTTATGTTGACAAAACTACCCAGATAGAGATAGCTTGATTGCTAAAATGGTCACAACTACTGGCTCCCCCACACGCATGCTATTTAAGATGTGACTCTGCGGTTCCTCCAATAAGGAAGTGGGGTCTACTTCTCCACCTTAAATCTGGGCTGACGGTGAGGGTTGCTTTGACCATTAGGAGGCACGAGGCAGGCTGTGCCTTTTCAGAGCCTGGGCCTCAAGAAGGCTTGCATTCTGCCACTCTCTCTGTTGGAACATTGCCTCTACCATTGAACAAGCCCGAGCTAGCTGGTTGGAGAATGAGCCCACATGGCCCAGAGCCAAATGAGCCCAGTTGTCCCAGTCAAAGCCCCAGGCATGTGAGAGAGCCCAACCAAGATCTGTCCAGTCCCATACCCAAATCCAGAGCTGACCACCAATGCATGAGGGAGTCCAGCTGAGTGTAGCCCAAAAGAGCCAGCTGATAAAAAGCATCAGCAAAATAGATGGTTATCACTTTAAGCCACTAAGGTTCGGGGTGGTTTGTTTTACAGCAATAGTGAACTGTTAAAAAACTTAACAGGATCCTGCTGTCAAGGCTGACACAACCAGGATATTGAGCAGACACAAGTCTGAAGTCCCCTGGATTTGCTTATGAGCTTGTGCGTGAGATACCTCTAGGAGTTCATCCCCACTACCAGCCCTGCACCCCCACCCTTTTCCTCCCACCACCAAAAAAGCATAAGAGGTATTTTCAAATGGCTCAAGTCTGAATGAGTTGGTGACATTTAGATTTGTGGCTGTTAATGTGACTCCGTTTGTTCTCACAAACTTGAGAGACATAGGGAAATCTGAGTAACACAGATTTTGTCACTGAACTTTACAAGTTTATCTTTCATGGGGAAGGAGTATCTTAATTAAAAGAGTCCATTTCATCCACCACTAAGAACTTTCCATAGCATTTAAAGTATTTATGCGAAGCAGTGTCTGGATCCATCCTTGCAGATGGGAGACTGGACTGAAGCTCTTACTCAGCTGATATCTAAGGAGGCTCATATGCCCAGGAGACCTGTCATACTAGTATCCTCAGTTAAAACACAAACACGGGCTGGTAAGAGAAAAAAAAGAAAAGAAAAGGACTCAAACTACATAACCTAAACTTATTCATTTCCACCGTTTGTCTCTTTTCACAAAAAGCATTTCATAGCCTCAAGGCTAAACTCGCCCTTGACTATCTTCCTGATAAACAAAGTGCTTATAACTAATTTGAACCATGTTTCAGATTGGGTGGGATATCTCATATAATTTTCCTAGGAATCCATTCAAGTTTTTTTAACCCCAGGATTACATTCCACCAAAGCTCTCCTTCCATTTTTGGAAGGAAATACCAATTACTTGGTGGGAAAAATGTTACTCCATCAATACAAATTGAATACACATCCAAAATTATA